TCCTCACACCGAAGGGGTTTCGATGGGCTCGGGCAGGTTCAGCTGACCGTCCCGCCGTTTCTTGGGGTAAAATTCTGGCGCGGAGCGTGTCCCAGTAGTCACAAACGAAGCGCATTTACCGGCTTCACGAGAAGCTCCTGTGAGGGCTGATAGGAAACCCCCAGGGCGGCTGCCTGTGATGGTCAAATAAAGGATTTTCCTACGTAAAAACAGGAGAAATGAGGAAGCTAAATGAAGATCAACTAACTTCTTAAATGTGAAACCTCTTCCTTTTAATTTTGTTTTATTTGTTTTGGGTTTTGTTTCACTGATAAACTTTATGCTTTGGTAGATGGAGGTATTTTTATTTTTATCTGATGATTTCCAAATTCTTAGTAATTTACAATACTGCTAATGAAGCAATTATAGACAAAACTGGTAATGTTGATGTTACAACATTTTAAAATGCTGTAATGAGCCTTGTGTAGCAATCGCCACATTTGATGGAGGGAAGAAGATTCCAAAAAAGTAATCTGATTAAATCTCAGAAAAAGGAACACAGGAAATTGGAAGACTTGCATAGAGAGTTTATCCCTAAAACCTAGAAATTGCAATGAGAATATATCATTACAAACTTGCCTTGCATGAAATGTATTAATGCTTCACTGAAAGTTCCAGTCCCCTGATACCGGATGCTTCCCTTTGGTTTGTGTTGGGGTGGCTGTTGCCTTCCCGAAACCACGACTGATCTTTTGGTCCCGGGGCAGCCCCCCAGTGCAATGCCTTTTCTTTGCCCTCATCCGGGCTGACACATCAAAAGCCCAGCACTTTCCTTCCCGTTCTAGCTGTGACTCTGCCAGCCGGCTGCCTTCACACCTCTCCTGGTCTTCATCCATTTCTGTCCTGCCTTGTTACCCTCACCACACATCTCCAAATGCAATTAAGTTTATTTTCTTGGTAATCGCTGCTGCTGGACTTGGTGTTTTCTGTCAGCGTAGCCCAAGTCACTGGTAACATAGCTGCCTGACTGCTGATTTGCAGC